TTTGTACAAATTGTTGTTACTATGACAAAAGTCTTTTCTTTACAAATATAAAAAAAATTGGGTGAGGTGGACTTTAAAGAGGAAACGCATTTAAAAAAATATGAAAATTTAGTGTCCCTGTTTTAAATATGCCACGAAAACATTGCTTAAATTAACCTAAAATTGAAAAAGTATAGTAATTAAAATGATAATAAAATAGTAAAATCTAGACCCAATATTTAAAATATCCAGAGAAACACACTTAGTGGGTCTTTTAAAAAGCTGTAAATAAAAAAGTTACATTAGGAAAAAAATTCTAAAGAAATGCACTTAGTGCGTTTTTTCAAAAAGTTGTAAATAGTAATTTAGATCAGGAAAAATTCTAGAGAAAAACACTTAATGTGACTTTCTCAAAAAAATTGTAAATAGAGAATATATACATGTATACACCTAACCAAAAAAATTCTGCAACTTTTAATATATATATGTCTTTTGTTCTTGAGAGATTACAGCCTTTTGCAAAAATTATGAGAATTGTCTAAATATCTAAATATCATAATATCCATATCCATATATTGTCCGGAACACGCGGGTTTGCTAGAATAATTCATTGTTGACATCAAGAAAATGTTCAGAACTACGAATAAGTCCGTCGCCAAAAAAAACTAAACAACGAAGACAAGGGACTAAGGGCATCGCGCGGGATCATGCACTTGATATTATGATATTTAGATATTTCAACAATTCTCATAATTTTTGCAAAAGGCTGTAAACAATAGGGAAACAATAGACATATATATATTGAAAGTTGCAGAATTTTTTTGGTTAGGTGTATATATACAGCCTTTTGCACAAATTATGAGACATTTTTATATATATAAATATACCTAACCAAATATCAAAAACACCCAAGAAATTATGGGATACCGTCGCTGATATTTTGTCATGATTGCCTAGCATCAGGTTGTTACAGACAAAATATCAGCGACGGTATCCCATAATTTCTTGGGTGTTTTTATATTTATTTTATCTGCATATCATATTTAGAATCTCCGAGTGCGAGATGTACGGAGGAACGACACGTATACGGGTGTTGTTGGAATGGATATCCTAAACTGAGTCCCAACAGTAAATGCCCAGGTAATTATATGGCAGACAGTAAGTTTTTAGAAAACTCTTCGATGCTATTGTAAACGCGAAGAAAAAAAACGCGCACTAGAGCTGTGAATGTGTTGTAAATGTGATGTAAGTGTCCAAAATGATTTAGACTTGATGTAAATGATATACATCAAGTTTACATCATATTTACATCATTTTGGACGCTAACATCATATTCACATCAAATTTACAACCTTTTAAAGTGTGTGATTTTTTCAGTGCTTTACCATTCATAAGCAAAGATATTAATAGTCATGGGGATTTTTTAGATTGGGATTTGTCAACCGTGATCGGGTAAAAAAAAACTTTAGGACTGGGACTGGGATATGGCTATTTCTTGCTTATAACTATATCTCTTTGTTAAGCTAAAATCATGTTCTAAAATGATTGATTTTTGTCACGTCTTCAATACTCCGTAAATTTTCGATTTTCGCAGCATTCTAGTCGTTACAATATTGCATGCAGTACAATGCGTAGACTGCGAAATATGATCTAGCCTCATTTTTCAGCTATTGACCAATCAGCGAGTTGCCTCTTGAAAAAGTAACTAATGTTTAACTAAAGTTTGATCATAATCACCTGGATGTCACCCGTTTTGCATTTCAATTACAACACTGATACTCTGAAATGTTTTCTCATTTTGGACTACTTTAAATAATAATAATATTAATAATAATTGAAAACTGTATTTATAATCAACTAATTCTTCTTCAGAATGTATCGACAATCCAGACATGTCTCACATCTGCCATCAGTACAAGGACGTAAGCGCAGGATGTAATTCTGGTTCGCTTGGAATCAGGCAGTTCTTACTGAATTATTGCCCCTTCACTTGTAAACTGTGCAGCAAATATTAAAGAATGTTAATTTAGCAATCCAAAATTGATATAGAATTGAATTAAATCGTACTGATAAGGCGATGCGCAGTCCTCAACATACTGAAGACATATGCATAGCATTTTTTTTTCATAAAAAGAAGTTAGCTCCCG